ACCCTGTGGCACCCCCATAGAGACTGCCATAGGTCCAGACAACAGGCCCTCCGATTTGACACATTGAACTCTATCTGAGAAGTAGTTGGTGAACCAGGCGAGGCAGTCATTTGAGAAACCAAGGCTATTTAGTCTGCCAATAAGAATGCGGTGGTTGACAGAGTCGAAAGCCTTGGCCAGGTCGATGAAGACGGCTGCACAGTACTGTCTATTATCGATCGCGGTTATAATATCGTTTAGGACCTTGAGCGTGGCTGAAGTGCACCCATGACCAGCTCGGAAACCGGATTGCATAGCGAAGAAGGTACGGTGGTATTTGAAATGGTTGGTGATCTGTTTGTTAACTTGGCTTTCAAATACTTTCGAAAGGCAGGGCAGGATGGATATAGGTGTGTAACTGTTTGGATCTAGAGTGCCACCCCCTTTGAAGAGGGGGATGACCGCGGCAGCTTTCCAATCTCTGGGGATCTCAGACGTTATGAAAGAGAGGTTGAACAGGCTAGTAATAGGGGTTGCGACAATTTCGGCGGCTAGTTTTAGAAAGAAAGGGTCCAGATTGTCTAGCCCAGCTGATTTGTAGGGGTCCAGATTTTGCAGCTCTTTCAGAACATCAGCTGTCTGAATTTGTGTGAAGGAGAAGCAGGGGGGGCATGGGCAAGTTGCAGCGGAGGGTGCAGAGTTGGTGGCCGGGGTAGTGGTAGCCAGGTGGAAAGCATGGCCAGCCGTAGCAAAATGCTTGTTGAAATTCTCGATTATTGTAGATTTATCGGTGGTGATAGTGTTTCCTAGCCTTAGTGCAGTTGGCAGCTGGGAGGAAGTGCTCTTATTCTCCATGGACTTTACAGTATCCCAAAACTTTTTGGAGTTAGTGCTACAGGATGCAAATTTCTGTTTGAAAAAGTTAGCTTTTGCTTTCCTGACTGTTTGTGTATATTGGTTCCTAACTTCCCTGAAAAGTTGCATATCGCGGGGGCTATTTGATGCTAATGCAGTACGCCACAGGATGTTTTTGTGCTGGTCAAGGGCAGTCAAGTCTGAGGAGAACCAGGGGGTTGAACCAACTGAACATGCAAGAGGACAGTGGTTGAACCAACTCGCAAGTAGCCTACCAATAAGCATGTTATTTTTAAGCAAAGTTGATTATCTAATTCAAATATATGAAGCCAAAGTCATTTGATAAACTGTAGGCTAGATAAAGTTGAAACGTTATTACAATTTGAGCACGTTTGTAAGCTAGTTAGCTAATTTAGCTAGCTAAACCAAAAAGGGGGTGAGAACGGAGCATAAGACACATTTCTGTTGTTCACTGTAACTAATGGACAAAGTTGTATTGTATTCTAAAGATGTCAGCCAGGGTTGACGTGGGCCATCATTCAAAGAAAGAGATGCCTCCCTGGCCACCAACTATGTTTGCATATAATGACAATAAATTCTAAAACTATGTCCATTCTTTCATTGTTTATTCAATTATATTCTTAGCTAAAAATATGACTATTTAATAATTTAGTAGTAGCCATAATTCATAAATGGCACCATGCAGGGTTTTTATGGAACTATTTTGGTTCAGTGAAGAAGAACCTCTAGGGTTCTGATCAAAGAACACTATAAAAGGGTTCTATATTCAGCTTTTAGGGGTTCCATGTATGAAGCAAGCGATAGAACCCCTTTAACTATAAGGAACGTTTTTTTTCCCTCTGTTGCTAATTAGTTTTATGGTTTTCTGTAGGTTGTCTGTAGGTTGTAGTTGTGCCAAATTACACTGGTTTAGCCTCTGCCAGAGCTCTCTTGATAATAGTCTGGAGATTAAAAGCTCTCTGATTTTCAGATTAAGGGAATTATCCTGACCACAAGCCAAAATCTGGACTGAAATGCACAAATTATTAACCCTCGTAGTTCCCCTCAGCTTTATAATGAACTGTAAATGTATACACACACATCACACACACACACGCACGCACACATGCACACACCACAACAAAGTACAACCCTAACCACCTACAGGCTAAGTATGATGTACAGTATGAACTACAGCTGAACCAGATATTGAATGAAGGCTATTATTCAAGCCTTCTTGTTATCATGGAGGTCCCTTCCCTCAGCCACCCACTCGCTTCTCTCTTGTCCCTCCTTGTCCTTCACTGGCCTCTCTGTCTGACCACTGTCCAGAGGATTGGACCACTATGGTCTGACTCTGTGTCATTTGGAGCGGGTTTCCACCGTTTCCCCGGGCCAAATGGCGAAAGGGTCGGATCTTCAAAGAGCTTCACAAAGTTAAACGGACCATTAGAATTTGGCGAATGCTAAGTGGGAGGTGCGCTGCTACAGTAGGGAGCTGTTTGGTCCACTAATGGGCCAGACTTTTGTTCCCCTGAAGTCATGCAACAACTCAACACAGGAGCCCCTCAGAAACGCTGCTGATTAGAGAAGTGGGACGGCATGGGAAAATTCAGAGCAAGGCAGGTTACCAAAAGGTCTCTATGGACAGGCCAACACTCAGAGACACATAGGCTACATGTGATGTACAGACATGCACGTACGCATGCATACACAGACAAACAGTATGCTTATACAGAAACACATAAACATTGCAGGCAGGGCCATACGTACGATGCGCTTCCCCTCAGCTTTGCAATGACCTGTAATTGCATACACACATCAGGCAGATAGACAGACAGACACACACACAGTAGGCGCATACAGAGACACAACATACAAACAATGCCAGTAGGGGCACACGAACAGTGCACGCATGTACGCAGGCTCACAGAAACAGATACACTTATACATTCATACAAACAGACACACTAACACACGACACACAAACACATGCTCACACCTGCTGACAGCCCTGAAGCCCTTAGGTGGAATGTCAGCCCTAAGGTTTGGACTCCAGGTCTCGTTTACTTACTAAACAACCATCTCACTTTCCCATTTGTATCCGATCCACACTAAATCAAAGCCTGTTCCCACCGGCGTCGTGCACCACAACCCCCCTAGAAACACAAGGAAACAAACAAGGAGCATTCACCCGTCAAACACTGCTTTCACCTACCTCAGTCAGGTGGAGGACGTGTGTGTCTCCTTGACAGCGTCAGTGCGTCAGGCTCTCTCTCACAATCTCTCGCTCGCTCTCTCCACCTGCTGCTTGTGTGCCGGTGAACTTCAGCCCCTTGTGTACAGCCACTCCCTCTGCCTCCTCCAACTCATTAACCAGCCCCTTGGTGCTGCGGTGGTGGTGGTGGTACCTGGAAGTGCCTGGAAGGAGATAAAGAGAGCCAGCACCTCGGAGCTGCCTGTATCCCTCGTTGAGTGGCTGCAACTGGGTGCTCCTCTCCTGGAGATGGACTCTCACCCCCATTCCGTGGCTCTGGGTGAATGGTTAGTTCAGCTCCATGGCTCTCCCTTTGTGAAAGTGCTCCGGAGTGTTGAAGGCCCTCAGAGGAGGGGGTAAGACCCAACCTCAACACTCACGCGTAGGAGACCCAGCTCCCCCTCGCCTCTCTCTCTAGTTCCCTCTCCTGTTCCCCACATCTCTAACACAATGGGCCGATCAGCTGGCAAGGCAAGGTTGCACAGGATTTTGAGCGCTTGGTAAGCTGCAGGTTGCTAATCTAAAGCAAGGCAGAACTTTTTGTGTTGTGTAGATTTGAAAGTCAGGTATTTTCCTGACATCAAGCTTTGCATAATAGGAAGACGAGATAGTAGATTTGTTGATAATATGAATTTGAATATTATTAAAATGTAGGGAAAAAAGGGAAGCGCTGCTAGGGTACACAATAGTAGATCTTTGTAGATGCTCTGTCGTTGTGATGACTGCAGAGTGCATCACATTCTCTTTCTCTGAATCATGAGCTGGAGTCCAAATCAAGAGAGAGAGTTTTATTTGTAATGAATAATATCAGTGTTCACTTGCTGCTTTACACAATATTTCCTTGTATGATATGTACAGTCACGGTACATTGTAGATCATTTTATTTTATTTGTAATATTTAATTTAATATTTTAACACATGACATACAAACAAATTGCTATAAGTAATATCATTGAGTTAAACAATCAATTTCCTTGAAACTTTAGGATGATTTGGATATAAAGCATGAAAATGCTAGTTGACTTGCATTGGATTTGTGACACAAATGCTAAAAAGATAGCATTTGAAACAGTGGCAAGGTAAACAAACCCAAAGCATGGGTTGCTGTCATACCTGGTCCATAGACATTATGCAATTTTGTAATTTGGGTGAACTATCCCTTTAACAATGGGGGGGGGGGAGGGGGGGGATCTTTAACAAATAATCACCAAATAGCAGGAACAGCACCATCTAGTGGTAAATAAACATAAACCCAACAACTTCAATTACTAATTTCTCTGAACAGGGGAAACAAAAACATCACCAAATTCACTGAGAATACATTACATAGGATGAAGAAACAATACTAAGAGCCGCATGTCCATACTACTTGTCAAACATAGAGAACTGGCACTATTTACTCGTTGTTGGGGTGGGATTGGTGTGGGGTGTCCGTGGATTGCTTTTGACCACTTCTTTTGATTTCTCATGTCTTACCCATTGTTAGAAAAAAGGTTTAGTCCAAATCGGATGTTAGGTACTATAATTATTGAATATTATATGAATCCTATAAATTAAAATGGCCAATTTAGTGCAATCAATTAGCTTACTTTCTCAGAGATCAAATTATATTCCAACAAAATAATGTTGCAGGAATGCTAATCTTATTTGTTTCTAACAACAGAAACGATTTCAGAACAATCTGAGATGGTGGGTGTCGAAATCCTCTTTATTGTGTTTTTTTTAGGTGGAATGACTCTGTAGCAACATTGCAGCAGTTTTTTCTAATCAGTGCATGATCATTCCTGAGTTCAGACTCAGGAACACATAAAAAATACTATTTATACACCAATGTATAAATGGATGTACAAATCTCCAGAAAATGCACATTAAAAAAGAAACAATAAATGTACATGCATATGAATCCAACTTATTGTCTGGGCTGACTGATGTCGCTGATCTTATTCTCCAGTGAAGGTAGGGTTAGCCACGGTGGTGGTCGCACTGTTGAATAGTGGATTCTCTCCCTATTGAGAGGTACAGTAAATGACATATTATGAAAAATCTGTAACGTATGGAACTCAGACATCTGGAGTGATAAATGTGGTGTCTTGTTTTAAATAGCTGCTGTCTTTGCCAGCCATACATTTATGGCAAATCACAACACTGGCTGGATTTCGACTTACGCACAGTTACTGATCAAATCTTGAAAAAGCGTTTTACAAACAAGGCTCCCCGGGTTCTGGAGACCACTGCTGTGCTGCTCTATCTCTTCTCAAAGGGACAGATACCGACATAAGAATGTATGCCTTTCCTTCGCATACCTTCCCACGCACTTCTCAATATTTAGTCAAGTAATGCGCTCTGCAGGTGTGGCTACTTTGCACACTCAGAATACATTTTATTCAACCATTCCACTTGCTGCCAACAGATACGTTTTCATTCAATGGGGTTTTCAGTACATTTATCTTAAGCCATCCCTTTAAATATGGTGCACCTTTAATTAGAATTTCGTCGACAGACTCAATATAATACATTGAGAGAGCGGGTTCAGAATATAGGGATCAATGAAAGAAAGCCATCTATGCATATTCATCTCCGTTTCAGCACCAGCTGGTAGAATTATCTGATCTTGTAGATTATTTAGGCAAATTTTTGGGTTAGGAAAGTATATATGTATGTAAAAAAAAGTATGTAAAACTTTGGAGAGCATTTACGCACGAAACACTACAGGGGTTTGATTCCTCCTTGTCATATTCAAGTTCAATCAATGAAATATTGGAATGTGGATAAAAGTGTAAAATAGGAGTTGAACGGGGCCTCCCGAGTGGCGCAGCGGTCTAAGGCACTACATCGCAGTGCCAGAGGCGTCACTACAGATCCGGGTTCAATCCTGGGCTGTGTCCCAGCCAACCGTGACCGGGACACCCATGAGGCGGCAAACAATTGGTCCAATGTTGTCCGGGTTAGGGAAGGGTTTGGCCGGCTGGGATGTCCTTGTCCCATCGCGCTCTAGTGACTCCTTGTGGCGGCCGGGCGCATGCACGCTGACTTCGGTCGTCAGCTGTACGGTGTTTCGTCCGACACATTGGTGCGGCTGGCTTCCGGGTTAAGCGAGCAGTTTGTCAAGAAGCAGTGCGGCTTGGCGGGTAGTGTTTCGGAGGACACATGGCTCTCGACCTTTGCCTCTCCCGAGTCCATACGGGAGTTGCAGCGATGGGACAAGATTGTAACTACCAATTGGATATCGCAAAAAAGGGGTAAAAATACAAGAAAACAATAGGGGTTGAACAATAATCCTATAAATCTACCCTAATTCTCACTAATCATGGAACTGTATGACAATGGTCCAGTCGTGGTGAACCGTGCACCAGGCTCCAGGTTTAACCTGCTACCTGTGGTCTGAGTTCCATAATGATTCAAATAGGCTACATGTCCTAAATTATTGCACAACGTTAGCCTAATATGATCCACTAATGCTAGCGACCCTCAGAAACAGGACATGAGAGGGGAAAGAAAGGTAAACAGAATGGAATGGAATGATGCAAACATAAATGTATGTGGGTATTACTGACAGTGGCTCCCGATTGTGGCTAATATTTAACATGATTCAAATTGTAAAATAAAATGGAAGAAAGCCTGGGCATATAATCAAACATTCTAAAGCACATACATCAACGTTTCCCAAACTCGGTCCTTGGGACCCTTAAGGGTGCACATTTTGTTTTTTGCCATAGCACTACACAGCTGATTCAAATAATCAAGTAATCATCAAGCTTGGATTATTTGAATCAGCTGTCTAGTGCTAGGGCAACAACAAAAACATGCACCCCTTGGTGTACCCAGGATCGAGTTTGGTAAACACTGGCATACATCAATTCGGCAGGTTCAACCCTACAGAAGCCTATAGCTTGGGTCTCCAAATTTCATCTACACAAATTATAAAGGCACACAATTAGAATTCTAAATAACGGCACTGCTATTTATATCCTATTTCAATGTGCTATTCATGTCATGTTGATAAACAATTACTATGTGTATTTACAATCCCCTTCTCCAAATGGATTACTAATTTACCTAGCTCTTATCAAGTAAGTAAATTACAGTCCATGGAGAATGGTGCTATTTCTATCAGAAAAAATTAAGCAAATGCTTTTTCCACTTGGAACCGGTAGGTTCGCTAGATCTTACTCATGATTTCCTCGCGCGTCAAGGTGGTGGAATTATTTGGGAATTAATTCAAGGTCAGAATATGGCGTGTCTGTAGACACACCTCCGCCACACCTTAATTTATTAGAGCTTCAAACTAATAGTGGGTGAATAGCATGCTATTCTCATGCTTAAGTTCAAGGTCAGAATACACATTTACGCGCGCTTAACTTGGGTCGGAATCTGGGCCAAAGTGATGATTTCTATTGATGGGTTCTGACTTCTAAACTTGAACATGTGAAATATCCTTATTCATGATACAGAGGGAGAGAGGGGAATGCAGAAAGTTTACATTCTGTCAGAACATGTTATTGTTAGATATTAGGTATCCTATGGAGAGGAGAAGGGCCACAGTCTGGTTTCAGATGTTGGGTTGTAATTTGAAATACTTGATACACCGAAGTTAAGGGTTATATGTAGGAGGAATGCATATGGTGGGGTCAATGGAGGTTGGATAAGAGCCAGGGGCTTAGAATGTTTCTAAGATAGGTGAAAAGACAATCACATGGTTGTAGTCACTGATAAGGGTGGATAGCTGTGGATTAGTGAGGGATGGGGGCCGAGGTCAGGTCAGGTCCCATGAAGTGAGAAGGAACAGGCATCACTGAAGTCCTGTCTAGCATCAAAGATGTATTGGCTGACAAGATGTGTAAGGAGGAGACTCAGCATAGGAGGAAGGTTTAAATACCAGTGCTTGTGTAAACATGTCTTTGTCTTATGCAGCTGTGTGAAATAAACTTGGTTTGAGCTTTACTAGTCGTCAGTAAGTTTTTGAATCTACACTATAAGTATCAATGTCACTCACCTTTGCCCACTTGGATTCTTTTTTTCATTCTCAAACTGCGGAACTCCTTCAGGTCATTCATGTGGATTAAGCCTTTGATTGAGGAGCAGGAATCAGGATTGGTGCGTGAGTACGCAACTGGCCGGACCGGGCTGACGATACGCACCCCTGGCTTGGTGCGTGGAGCAGGAATGGACCGGACCGGGCTGACGATACGCACCCCTGGCTTGGTGCGGGGAACAGGCACGGGCCGTGCTGGACTGACGACGCACACCACTGGCCTGGTGTGGAGAGCAGGAGCGGGCCGGACAGGGCTGACGAAACGCACCACAGACTTGGTGCGGGGAGCAGGAATGGGCCGGACTGGGCTGGCGACGCGCACCACAGACCTGGTGCGGAGAGCAGGAACGGGCCGGACTGGGCTGACGAAACGCACCACAGACTTGGTGCGGGGAGCAGGAACGGGCCGAGCCGGGCTGGCGAAGCGCACCGTAGGCTTGGTGCGAGGGGCAGGAGCAGGCCGGGCCGGGCTGGCGAAGCGCACCGTAGGCTTGGTGCGAGGGGCAGGAGCAGGCCGGGCCAGGCTGGCGAAGCGCACCGTAGGCTTGGTGCGAGGGGCAGGAACAGGCCGGGCTGGGCTGGCGACGCGCACCGTACACTTGGTGCGGGGAGCAGGAACAGACCGGACCGTATTGGGGACACACACCACTGGCCCTACACCGGGATCTGGAACGGGCCGGACCGGACTGGTAACACACCCCAGTACCTCTCGCCGTGCCTCTACACCTTCCATCCCCTCTTCGACCAGTGGCCCCCGTAACCTGGCGGCCTCCTCTGCCAACCCGCTGGACCGCTCTATCGCGGCCTCCTGTTGCCCCGACGTCGTGAGCCCCCCCCTAAAAATTTTCTGGGGTTCTCTCCTCCCCGTGGGCCAGGCCTCTATAATTCTCGCCCAACTCTCGCTCCTCTGCTTCCAACTCCCGCTATTCAGCTCCTCAATGGGCTTGACCCAGTCGAGGCTCTTCCTCCATTGTTCCCAAGTCCACTCTCTCTGCTCTTCCCTCGGCTTGACCCAGTCGAGGCTGCCACGGAGATCTGCTAGGGATCTCCCTGGCGATGGCTCCTCGACTCGCTGCTTGGTCCAATTGTGGTGGGTTCTTCTGTCACTATCGTCGGGAACAGATGAGGACCAAGGCGCAGCGTTGCAGGCAAACATACTCTTTAATGAGCGAAACGCGATCAAAACAACAAAGACGGTAACGTGACAGTACACGGTCAAACACAACCAACTTGAAACAAGAACCCACAAAAACAAAGGAAAAACCGACAGTTTAAATATGGCTCCCAATCAGAGACAACCAGCAAACAGCTGACACTCGTTGCCTCTGATTGGGAGTCACTCAGGCCAACATAGAAATAGGGAACATAGATCTACACACCCTGGCTCAACATAACAGTGTCCCCAGAGCCAGGGCGTGACAATAGCACTACACAGCTGATTCAAATAATCATGTAATCATCAAGCTTTGATTATTTGAATCAGCTGTCTAGTGCTAGGGCAACAACAAAAACATGCACCCCTTGGTGTACCCAGGATCGAGTTTGGGAAACACTGGCATACATCAACTCGGCAGGTTCAACCCTACAGAAGCCTATAGCTTGGGTCTCCAAATTTCATCTACACAAATTATAAAGGCACACAATTAGAATTCTGAATAACGGCACTGCTATTTATATCCTATTTCAATGTGCTATTCATGTCATGTTGATAAACAATTACTATGTGTATTTACAATCCCCTTCTCCAAATGGATTACTAATTTACCTAGCTCTTATCAAGTAAGTAAATCACAGTCCATGGAGAATGGTGCTATTTCTATCAGAAAAAAATGAAGCAAATGCTTTTTCCACTTGGAACCGGTAGGTTCGCTAGATCTTATTCATGATTTCCTCGCGCGTCAAGGTGGTGGAATTATTCAGGAATTAATTCAAGGTCAGAATATGGCGTGTCTGTACACACACCTCCGCCACACCTTAATTTATTAGAGCTTCAAACTAATAGTGGGTGAATAGCATGCTATTCTCATGCTTAAGTTCAAGGTCAGAATACACATTTACGCGCGCTTAACTTGGCTCGGAATCTGGGCCAAAGTGATGATTTCTATTGATGGGTTCTGACTTCTAAACTTGAACATGTGAAATATCCTTATTCATGATACAGAGGGAGAGAGGGGAATGCAGAAAGTTTACATTCTGTCAGAACATGTTATTGTTAGATATTAGGTATCCTATGGAGAGGAGAAGGGCCACAGTCTGGTTTCAGATGTTGGGTTGTAATTTGAAATACTTGATACACCGAAGTTAAGGGTTATATGTAGGAGGAATGCATATGGTGGGGTCAATGGAGGTTGGATAAGAGCCAGGGGCTTAGAATGTTTCTAAGATAGGTGAAAAGACAATCACATGGTTGTAGTCACTGATGAGGGTGGATAGCTGTGGATTAGTGAGGGATGGGGGCCGAGGTCAGGTCAGGTCCCATGAAGTGAGAAGGAACAGGCATCACTGAAGTCCTGTCTAGCATCAAAGATGTATTGGCTGACAAGATGTGTAAGGAGGAGACTCAGCATAGGAGGAAGGTTTAAATACCAGTGCTTGTGTAAACATGTCTTTGTCTTATGCAGCTGTGTGAATAAACTTGGTTTGAGCTTTACTAGTCGTCAGTAAGTTTTTGAATCTAACACTATAAAGTATCAAATGTCACTCACCTTTGCCCACTTGGATTTCTTTTTTTCATTCTCAAACTTGCGGAACTCCTTCAGGTCATTCATGTGGATTAAGCCTTTGATGAGGAGCAGGATCAGAAAGCCGATCATGGCCACTACCACAATGGAGCCTCCAATGATGGCGTAGATGTTTGGCAACTCGGGACACTCTAACACAATTATGACAGACATGAACAATCACACATTTTTAGGCGGTCTTGGTGGCTATGGCATGTTTTGTTTAGTGTGAAAAAATTTGGTAACGAACATCTCTCTGACATTGTGATTGAGATGCTTTCAATGTCCCTTGGAGGCTTTATCTTGATGCACATCAAACAACGTGGTCAGTCAATTAAAACCCCAGCAGACATTTCTGTTTTCTGTGGGCAATGAAGGTAACATGGGCATAGTTTTTAGTTGCACAAGACATAAGTCTCTTACCTCTGGTCTTTAGTATCTGGGCGGAGTAGTTGTCCTCTCCATCCAACTGTTTAATGGTAAAGAACACCCGGCAGTTCTCCACATCCCTCACGTCACAAGGCTTACCAGGTGGCAATGTTTCCACCATCTCAAATTCATTAATACTCTTACAGGTCTGGGAGCAGTTCTTACTGAACGGGCCTGTCTGAAAGCCCAGACACTCGATGCATTTCCTGAAAATAGAAGAACGAGGTAGAGAGTGAAAAACTTCCTTGCTCAACATTTGTTTTTCTCCTTTAAGGACTTCAACGCATGCTTTGGTTCCAAAACCCCTCGTTTTGAGTAAGATGGCAACACGCAGAAATTATATTTCGCAGTCCTACATTCTATTCTCCCAGTCATCCTGTATGGTCAATGGTAACCATCTTTGTTTGTCCTGTGATTGTGATGCATTTCAATACGTACACGATGGCTCCAACAACATTACCCCAAGGGGCCAGTGAAGTCAGTGGTTGAGTGAGTGAAAAAGGTGGGCCCAGGCCATCTTACCCCTTGGTTATACAGGGGGTCAAGCAGGCGGGGCAGGTCAGACAGTAGGGCCGCTGGTAGCCCTCGATACACTTGCACTGGTTACACTGGCATGTGCCCCTGCCGCTGCACACACTCCCGCCTGGTGTGCGACACTGCTCGTCCGACTTCTTGCATTGGCAGGCGGTGCCTTCGTAATCAGGGTTGCATTCGCAATTTTTACAACGGCATTTCCCGTTCCCTTCAACACAGAGAAGTTATTTTACGTCAGAATTTGTAGATTATGTTTGTAAAACACTCCTCTTTGTGGTGTTTTAATAATTCAAGTGTGTACCCCAATTCATAATGAGACTGTCATTAACAGATGGCAGGTGTTCATTCTATTGTTATACAGTACATGCATATATGTTTTCATCTATATTTCCAATGTTACTGTATGTATTATCTATTTATAAATGGATATTGTCAAATGTTTTATCAGACTGCACCTCCACACAGTTTGTTCTGGAACTTCTCGCAGCTCTCGTTTTCACACTCGCAGTGCGTGCCGTAGTAGGTGCTGCCGCCTTGTAGGGCATAGCACTGGCACATGCCACACACACAGTCCCCTCGTCCTTCGCACTCCGTGCCGTTGTCCTTCCGGCATGCCGCCCTCAGAGAGCTCTCGTCCTTCTCCCCAATGGAGCACTCACACTTCTGGCCCACGAAGCCGGCTTTGCAACTGCACAGAGTTGGGAGGAAATAGCCTACTGTACTGATTGCTTGTGAAAAATTTACATGTACCACATTTACATGTACCACCCCCCACCACTGTGTCTCCTTTCCCCCCCCCCCCCCCCCCCCCCCCCCCACCCCACCCCCTGAATATAGAGAATAGAAATACAGTATAGAAAATAGAATGGAATAGATGGTTCATATCAATCCATGTTTCTCAGAAGTCCCTTGTTTTTTTTCAGGTGACTCAATGCAGTTCCAGGGGGATGGAGGGTAAATCATTGCAACATATATTGGATTCAATATTGACTATATCAACATAAGTTGGAAAATATAGTGAAAACAAAAGCACATGCTATTTGTTTTATATCCCAGCCAATGCCTGCCTTACCTGCACATGCCACAGTTGACTTTACCCTTCCCGTTGCAGTATGGGTGATTGTCCTCCTGGGGGTCATCACAAACACACTCGCAGCGAGTCGACAAGTTCACCTTCAGCTTGTCTTTTATACCCAATGGGCCAATCAGAAAAGACATCTCTCCATCTATACATTCATCTGCCGTCACTGTTACGTTGAAAGACACCTGAGAGGAATTCAAGAGATGCAATGAGTACATTTGTGGTATCTGTTTGGATAATGTTGGTTTGCTATGTATTATCATGGGCCTAAAATACATTTTAGTCATTTAGCAGACGCTCTTATCCAGAGCGACTTACAGTTAGTGAATACATATATTTTTTTATACTGGCCCCCCGTGGGAAACGAACCCACAACCCTGGCGTTGCAAACGCCATGCTCTATCAACTGAGCTACATCCCTGCCGGCCATTCCCTCCCCTACCCTGGACGACGCTGGGCCAATTGTGCGCCGCCCCTGAGTCTCCCGGTCGCGGCCGGCTGCGACAGAGCCTGGATTCGAACCAGGATCTCTAGTGGCACAGTTAGCACTGCGATGCAGTGCCTTAGACCACTGCGCCACTCAGGAGTACATAAAATAGTGTATAAGAGTGTAAAATAATATTGTATAAAAGATCATACAAAAGATTTTGTTGTGACTCTTATATGGATGATGTTAAAAATATTTGTTGGTTTAATGTGATTAATAAGTAGCATCTAGAATTTATGAACTTGCTTCTTCCAATGATTGATAAACATGCACCTGTTAAGAAACTGACTGTTATAACTGTTAAGGCTCCATGGATTGATGAGGAATTGAAAAACTGTATGGTTGAAAGAGATGGGGCAAAAGGAGTGGCTAATAAGTCTGGCTGCACATCTGACTGGATTACTTTTCTATGTGACTAAACTCAACAAAAAGAAGAAGAAACTGTATTATGAAGCCAAGATCAATTATATAATTATGATGGAAGAAAACTTTGAAGTACTTCAAATGAAATTATGGGCAGAAAGACATATTTCATCGAATCAGATGGCTTATTCATCACAAAACCATTTGATGTTGCCAATTATTTTAATGATTACTTCATTGGCAAATTGGGCAAACTTAGGCAGGAAATGCCAACAACTAACAGTGAGCCATCGTATTCATGCATAAGAAAACTAATAATTGAAAGCATTGCAAGTTTGAATTTTGTAAAGTTAGTGTGGGAGAGGTGGAAAAAGTATTGTTATCGATCAATAATGACAAACATCCTGGCATTGACAACTTAAATGGAAAGCTACTGAGGATGGTAGCTGACTATAGCCACTTTAATCTGAGTTTACAGGTCCTCAGGCCTGGATGGAAGCCAAAGTAATTCCGCTACCCAAGACTGATAAAGCGGCATTTATTGGTTGTAACAACAAACATTCAGCATGCTTATAGAGAAGGGCACTCAACATGTACTGCACTGACACAAATGACTGATAATTTGAAAGAAATGGATAATAAGAAGATTGTTAGAGCTGTACTATTAGATTTCAGAGCAGCCTTTGATATTATTGACCATAACCTGTTGTTGAAAAAACGAACAGTTCCAGTCAAAGGTTTGGACACAGCTACTCACTCAAGGGTTTTTCTTTATTTTTACTATTTTCTACATTGTAGAATAATAGTGAAGACATCAAAACTACGAAATAACACATATGGAATCATGTAGTAACCAAAAAGTGTTAAACGAATCAAAATATATTCTATATTTGAGATTCTTCAAAGGAGCCACCCTTTGCCTTGATGACAGCTTTGCACACTCTTGGCATTCTCTCAACCAGCTACATGAGGAATGCTTTTCCAACAGTCTTGAAGGAGTTCCCACATATGCTGAGCACTTGTTCGCTGCTTTTCCTTCACTCTGCAACTCATCCCAAACCATCTCAATTGGGTTGAGGTTGGGTGATTGTGGAGGCCAGGTCAACTGATGCAGCACTCCATCATTCTCCTTAGTTAAATAGCTATTACACCGCCTGGAGGTGTGTTTTGGGTCATTGTCCTGTTGAAAAACAAATTATAGTCCCACTAAGCGCAAACCAGGTGGGATGGCGTATCGCTGCAGAATGCTGTGGTAGCCATGCTGGTTAAGTGTGCCTTGAATTCTAAATAAATCACTGACAGTGTCACCAGCAAAGCACCCCCACACCATCACACCACCTCCTCCATGCTTCACGGTGGTAACCACACATGCGGAGATCATCCGTTCACCTACTCTGCATCTCACAAAGACACGGCGGTTGGAACCAAAAATCTCAAATTTGGACCCATCAGGCCAAAGGACAGATTTCCACCGGTCTAATGTACAGTGAGGGAAAAAAGTATTTGATCCCCTGCTGATTTTGTACGTTTTCTCACTGACAAAGAAATGATCAGTCTATAATTTTAATGGTAGGTTTATTTGAACAGTGAGAGACAGAATAACAACAACAAAGTCCAGAAAAACGCATGTCAAAAATTTTATATATTGATTCGCATTTTAATGAGGGAAATAAGTATTTGACCCTAAAACATGACTTAGTACTTGGTGGCAAAACCCTTGTTGGCAATCACAGAGGTCAGACGTTTCTTGTAGTTGGCCACCAGGTTTGCACAAATCTCAGGAGGGATTTTGTCCCACTCCTCTTTGCAGATCTTCTCCAAGTCATTAAGTTTTCGAGGCTGACGTTGCTCATGTTTCTTGGCCCAAGCATGTCTCTTCTTCTTATTGGCGTCCTTTAGTTGTGGTTTCTTTGCAGCAATTCGACCATGAAGGCCTGATTCATGCAGTGGCAGTTCTCATGAGAGCCAGTTTCATCATAGCGCTTGATGGTTTTTGCGACTGCACATGAAGAAACTTTCAAAGTCTTAAAGTGATGATGGACTGTCGTTTCTCTTTGCTTGTTTGAGCTGTTCTTGCTATAATATGGAGTTGGTATTTTACCAAATAGGTTTATCTTCTGTATACCACCCCTACCTTGTAACAACACAACTGATTGGCTCAAACGCAAATTAACTTTTAACAAGGCACACCTGTTAATTGAAATTATTTCCAGGTGACTACCTCATGAAGCTGGTTGAGAGAATGCCAAGAGTGTGCAAAACTGTCATCAAGGAAAAGGGTGGTTATTTGAAGAATCTCAAATATAAAATATATTTTGATTTGTTTAACACTTTTTTGGTTACTGCATGATTCCATATCTGTGATTTCATAGTTTTGATGTCTTCACTATTATTCTACAATGTAGAAAATAGTACAAATAAAGAAAAACCCTTGAATGAGTAGTTGTGTCCAAACTTTTGACTGGTACTGTATGTGTTATGGCTTTTCAACCTCTGCCATATCGTAGATTCAGAACTATCTACAGTGCCTTGCAAAAGTATTCATCCCCCTTGGGGTTTTTCCTATTTTGTTGCATTACACCCTGTAATTTAAATGGATTTTTCATGTAATGGACATACACAAAATAGTCCAAATTGGTGAAATGAAATGAAAAAAATTACTTGATTCAAAAAATTCAAAAAAATAAATAATGGAAAAGTGGTGCGTACATATGTATTCACCCCCTTTGCTGTGAAGCCCCTAAATAAGATCTGGTGCAACCAATTACCTTCAGAAGTCACATAATTAGTTAAATAAAGTCCACCTGTGTGCAATCTAAGTGTCACATGATCTCAGTATATATACACGTGTTCTGAAAGGCCCCAGAGTCTGCAACACCACTAAGCAAGGTGCACCACAAAGCAAGCGGCACCATGAAGACCAAGGAGCTCTCCAAACAGGTCAGGGACAAAATTGTGGAGAAGTACAAATCAGGGTTGGGTTATAAAAAAATATCTGAAACATCCCACAATTAGAAACTTCTCTAATGTCAAACATGTAAAGTATGGTGTACCACAGGGCAGCTCTCTAGGCCCTCTACTCTTTTCTATTTTGACCAATGACCTGCCACATGCATTAAACCAGGGCTTCCCAACCCTCTTCTTGGAGATCTACCTTCCTGTGGGTTTTCAGTCCAACCCTAATTTAACACACCTGATTCTACTTATTAGCTGCTCAACAAGACCTTACCTAGCTGAATCAGATTAGGGTTGGACTGAAAACCTACAGGACAGTATATCTCCAGGAAGAGGGTTGGGCAGCCCTGCATTAAACAAAGCATGTGTGTCCATATATGCTGATGATTGAACCATATATGCATCAGCAACCAGCTAATGAAGTCACTGAAACCCTTAACAAAGAGTTGCAGTCTGTTTTGGAATGGGTGGCCAGTAATAAACTGGTCCTGAACATCTCTAAAACTAAGAGAATTGTATTTGGTATAAATAATTCCCTAAGTTCTAGACCTCAGCTGAATCTGGTAATGAATGGTGTGGCAGTTGAACCAGGGTTCTTTTCACAGTCCCCAATTCCAGAACAAATTCAAGAAGGCCTACAGTATTATATAGAGCCATTACATCTCCGTTCCATCTCATATTGCCCAAATGAACAGCAAACCTGGTTTCAAAAAACAGATAAAGCAACACTTCACAGCACAACGCCTCTCCCCTATTTGACCTAGGTAGTTTTTGTGTATGTATTGATATGTAGGCTACGTGTGCCATTTTAAAATTGATATAGTTCTGTCCTTGAGCTGTTCTTGTCTTTTCATGTTCTGTATTATGTCATGTTTCATGTTTTGTGTGGACCCCAGGAAGAGTAGCTGCTGCTTTGGCAAAAGCTAATGGGGATCCTAATAACATACCAAATACCAAAGTATAACACTTTATAATAAAGGTCACTAATTAGCCATTATGTTAATTATATTGCTTATAATTACAATAAATGTATATAAATGTTTACAAATAATGAAATACACATTCCTGTTTTATCAATAGTTGATTAATACTTCAGTTATTATCAAGTGTTACCATATTATTTTTTGGTATGTGATAGATACTTCTGAGCTCTTACCATCTGTCCTACTTTAACGTTGTCACAGACCCCCTTGTCCCCTGCGGGTCCCCCTCCAGGACAGAGTGGAGTGTAAGTGACTCTCACATTGTCAGGGAGAGCATCATGAGTCACCGTTACTTTGGAGGAGAGCCTCTGTGTCAGACACAAAACAGTCTCAGAGTTAACACCAATGCTAAATCACCAGCACTAGAGACTCCTAGAGATACTAGAGGTTTATGATTAACTCAAGTAAAGTTCCACACATTAAACACATAATTACAATATCAATTATTGGAGTACCATCTTTTTAAAAAGTGATTCATTAAATTAATAAGAAAATATTGTAAATATCTTACATTGTAGGCAGCTTCGATCAATTCAACAACATTTTTGGAGTCCTCAGACAGTACTCCCACCTCAGACTTGGGGATCATTCTACTGAGTTCCTGGAAAAAAGTGTTGATTATACATTTACATTTACACTTTAGTAATTTAGCAGACACACTTATCCAGAGTGACTTACAGTACAATTAGTGCATTCATCTTAAGATAGTTAGGTGAGACAACAACACATCACAAACGTATCAAGTACATTTTCCCTCAACAAAGTATTTATCAGCAGTCAGTGCTAAAGGGGGGGGGGGAGGTTCAGGCGCACTGTGAAAGTTATTTAAGATACTCTTCATTATTATGTGGGAGTATTAATAAGTGCCTGCATTAGATATGTTGACGTTTATAACAATAGAAAAACAGAGGAAGAAAGAGAGAATGAGTCCACTTACCCTGTATACATTCTCCATATTCTTTGTCACAGCAAAGATTGGCTGAATGTTGTTCTTCTCTAACTGTGAAGCCACTTGACCAACAGATGGGTAGTCCTACATACAGAGACACTTAACTTGTACAACCTCAATAATGTAATTGTTTAGGGCCAAAGGGGATGGAATATACAGGCTTTAGTTCAGTCCAGTCATGCTGTTGTATTCATTACATATTTCTCATATTCTCTTATGGTATTTTTCATATACAGTACATTATATCAAAGTTTTGGTGAGGACCAATCATATTGATCTGAATGTATCCTATGTCACCATCACATACCATGTAATTGCTCTTGCTGTACAGTTGGTTGTCCATGTAACATCTCTCATCGTTGGGCTCCAGTATGCCAGCCAGCTTGCCATCCCCTGCCATGTGGAAGCCATCATCGGTGGTCAGGACGATTAGCCGAGTGCTGCTATTCCTCCAGCCAATCCTGTCCTGTGGAAAACAATTTGAGGCTTCATGTAAAATGGATGGAAAAGATGCGAAAAAGTCGACATCACACATTGGAGTTTTTTTTGTACTACACTGGCAGAGCATCACAGAGGAAGTGTGAGTCACTTTATCTAATGTTTCCGCCTGCAAGCGTCATACACTGCTACGTTCAGCCTATGATGTGTGTGGTAGTCTTGTGTCTAAAGACAGCAAAAAGAGATTGGTGTTATAGAAGTGAACTACTTCCCCATCTGCCTATCTATCTACAGTATGTACTTATCTATGATACACAATGCTGCTTTGACAATAGATTAACCCAACATTCTATTGATGTTCAATGTCAGTATGTTGATAGAACGTTGGTTCAACTTATTTTTGCCCTGTGGGATTAGACTACTCTTACCCCACAGACTGCAGCCTGCATGATGGCGTCCAGCGTCCCTTCAGGGGAGTCCAAGTTCCCAGAGATGCGTTGCTTGTCTACCTCCCTCTTAAAGTCAGCTTCGTTCCCTGTCATGCTAAGAACATGCCTGTAGCCAAAGGCAGGTTGACAGAACTGCTCCTTGTCGGCGCATGGCTTCTTCAGCTTCTCTGGGTTGGTGTTAGTGAAAGGCAGGACAGTCTTGTCTACAAAAGAGCCGAAGCCTGCAGCAAAAGATAAAGGTTATAAAAAATGAGATTCATGGACACTCAAAGATAGACTAGGAATTGAGTAGGAATTGAGGCTGAGACAGACCTGGGTTCAAATACTATTTGAAATCATTTGAAATACTTTAGCTCTGCTGTTGGAATGGATCTAATAGAAATATCCCAAAAGGGCAAACCCCACCCACCTGGCACCCAAGGCAGGCTAAACCAAAGGCAAATAAAATAATCTAATAATATTTGAACAATTTGATCCGATCTAAGATATATCACCTATTCGCCCTTGTTTTGTGATGCCTTGCAGAGCTTTAAAGAGCTCGTTTCCCAGAGACTTGATGCTCCTCAGATCATCCTCCATGGAGTAGGAGAGATCCATCAGGTAATAGAGATCAACAGGATAGCCCTCCACTCTCTGAAAGTCCAGCTTGAACGTCCGAGGCAGCCCTGAACAAAGCAAAAGATATAAAAAATATCAAGCCAAAAGCACATGATGATAACGTGATATGATGAAATTGAGGTTATAAATTTGCTATTTTAAGATAATTTCATTGTGTTTGATTACTTAGGGCTACTTTTAATATGTTCCAGCCATAGAGTTGGATAGAGGGCGTAAAGCCAAGGTTGGTTATTTACTGACGCATGCAGTTATGGAAGGATTGCTGAGGAGTTTAATTAATTGGCAGATCCCTGCTGGTGACCTGGATATAATTCTGTGATCCTTCCTTAACCCATAGGATGTCCCACCCAGTTGACTACTTAAAAATGGCGAAAGTCATTAATGACGCTGCCCATACTAAAACAGGCTTTTGGTCCTTTATCCAACTACATGATTTTATCCATTTTCAAAACATGGCAGCCATCTTAGAACCCAGTTTGGGCGGTAATGCACCACTAACATTGGAAGCCAACCACCGTTGAAACCCACCGAAGAAGAAGAACCCAATTTGGCCATTTTGAGAACACCCACCTGGTCTGAGCTTCAGATTTACCTCCTGAGGACGCAGCTGGGTGGGTTCCTCCTTGGCAAATGCACTGGTGGACAGGGAGGTGTTCTTAGACACAGTAAGGTTATTCTGGGGGTTGATGATGTCTCTTTCCATGCAGCCCCTCTCTAATAGCTGAGCCAAGGTGTCACAGCGAGATGCTTCTTGCTGCCCTGGTTTGATGAAGTTCTGTGAATGGGACAGATATAAACTCTGGACTTAAAATAAGTGTGTCAACCATATCTGTAGATGCTCTATTAGACTATCAACAAACTATCAAGCAACTCCAAATTGTAATATTTCTTCAGTTGCCCAGTCGCTGTAAACGTTGTTGCAGTTGACTGACCTTGTGCACAGTTGTACATTTAGATGTAAGTGAATATTATTCAAACAATGGAAATAAAATGGGGTCTGCACATGCATATCCTAGCACTCCAACCCACATACTTTAGCTTAACACTTTCATGCATATTCTCAGCCCTGTTTGCATACACTGCTTTACATAGACAGCCAAATGCATAATGTTAGCACCTAGCAGCGGTATAAAGTTCTTAAGTAAAAATACTTTAAAGTACTACTTAAGTAGTTTTTTGGGGTATCTGTACTTTACTATTAATATTGTCAACAACCTTTGCTTTTACTTCACTACATTCCTAAAGAAATTATTGTACTTTTTACTCCATACATTTTCTCTGACACCCAAAAGTACTCAGTGGCGGCTCCTGAAAAAATTCTCAGGAGGGGCAATTTTTCTGATGATTTAGGTGACCTACACACATTTTAAAAAAGATATGTCCAGCAACAACATGAAGACAGGGGCAGCATATAAGTCAATACCAGAGCTTTTTTTGACTGATTTATTGACTGATCTCAAAAGTGTTGGCTTACCAGGGTTGGTGGAGCCCTCAGTTTCATCTTTGCCTCGCAAAGCTAACTCAAACACTCCGCAAAACTTCACACACTGGATTAGCCGGCTGAGGATGTGGCGGTTCTTGCTAATGTCGTAGTAAATATATTTGTTATAGTGAATATGGAATATGATATGTTGAGTAAAATGTTGTGCTAAGATCTATTTAGGTCAGGAGCTGGTTATAAGTTCTGTTCCTATCCAATAACAATGGACAAAAGGGTCCTATCTTGTCAGCCTTGTCAGCAGGTGGCCAAGGACAACACCCACGCCATAGGCCTCTCAGTTCTTCCAACTCACGAGTTCTTGCTCTGAGGACACACACACACACAAACACACACACACACACATCATCACTGTTAAACACACACACACACACACACATCATCACTGTTAAACACACACACACACACACACACACAAAAATCCCCTCTCTTAGGCTGAACATTTGAAGACAGAGAACCCGACTCAGAGCCAATGCAACAGTGACAGTAGCCTGGAGGGGACCTCGCCCAACTCATCAGGACCAATCAGAAGATCAGAACTACTAGATTCAACCTACTTCATTTATTGCATAAAATGTCTGCACACAATGTTTCGGGGCTCTCTTCAGATAATAATAATAATATGCCATTCAGCAGACGCTTTTATCCAAAGCGACTTACAGTCATGCGTGCATACATTTTTGTGTATGGGTGGTCCCGGGGATCGAACCCACTACCTTGGCGTTACAAGCACCATGCTCTACCAGCTGAGCTACAGAAAGTGGATACTCATGGATGCGCATCGCAATTGTAAAATGTCAACACAATTGGAGACACCACGTCATTTTTGGAGACATGTTATTGACAGTAAACTATTGTAGATGCGACTGCTAACTAAATAAAACATTTTAGCTGGCTAGCTAATCATCTTAGCTAAATGTGGGGCAAACAATTCAGTTATTTACCGTTAATTTGAGGGATTGGGGTGAAAGAAATCGAGTTACATAGTGATACTTTACGATATACTGTATTGACAATATCGCAATATTTTAGCGCTAGTTGGCTGTACCTGCACCAAAACACCATTATTGTTCCTTCATAGCTTGTTCTCAATCTTTTCACATTGGGAGCCAATTTGTTTTCAGCACTTTTATTTCCATGACTGATCAAAACTCGTTCTCATGGCTTTCTGATCCCTCTGCAACAGACATATGGTGCGCAATAAAATCACAGTATCGAATCGCAATACGTATAGAATCATGAGACTCGCAATGCTGATGCATAGCTATATCTTATCGTGAGGTTCCTGGCAATTCCCAGCCCAAGTTCATTTGCCACAACAAATCTCTTCGCTAGCAAACGCGATGTCTTCTCCAAAACGGCAATGTGTCTCCAGCAATGTTTACTTTTTTGACGTTCTATGGCATCTCCACTTTCCAAGCATATATGACCACATGTAATATTTTGGTAAGTGATGCAAATAGTGAACTATGTAGGGCCAGGATGTAAAATATATGTAGCTGCAGCAATTTCTCTTATCTGATATGGTAAGTAATGGGGCTTAATTTATAGCTCCCTAAGAGTTTGACGAACGGGTCCGTGAACGCGATTCCAGATATCTTTACCTCTGAATAAACTGCCTTTATTATACCATATCCACCCTGTCCAAAGTCTCTACTTGGTCTCAGTTCTCCAGTAAACTTGTGATTATCAACACTAACCTCATCGTTGTGGCGGCGGACAGCTAGCCTGTATCCCTCATCCAGTTGAGTGAGTGGCAATGTCTTTTTTCGTTCGTACCAATTTTTGGAAAATCCTCGGGTGTAGGACTTTCCGCCTTTAGTAGAAACCTGTTGAATTATTAAATTTGGTCTGGGAGGTCCTAATTGTTTCGTTGCCAATTTATCTTCATTTGTTCGCCGACAAAAAGGAACTTCTTTCAAACAATCCGCTCTTTTCTCAGTTACGTTCATGGTTACGTAACGTATGACGAAAGCGCGTAAGTGCAAGCCCACAGACACCCATTGAGATTGTATTGAAGGCTCTGAAATTTGAAAAAAATAGATTTTACATGGGAGTCTATGACAGACTTCTGGGCGATTTTCAACCTGACTGAAATCGCCCCAAAAGGGGGGGGAGCCATTTGAAGCACGACTTTAGCCTGATTCGACATTTAGTGGCAGTGTGGCACTGTGGCAGATCAGACGTATAGATTACAACACTGATAACTACTGTTGCTGTGATATAATTGATTAGAAAAAAAATCCCTTCCTTTTCCCGTTTGGCAGTGCGTCGCCCATATCGCCCTATTGAACAGGCCGCCCCTGCTCATTACATTTTGAATGCTTAGCAGGATGGGAAAATGGTCCAATTCACACACTTATCAAGAGAACATCCCGGGTCATCCTTACTGCCTCTTATCTGGCGGACTCACTAAAAACAAATGTTTGATTTGTAAATGATGTCTGAGTGTTGGAGATAGCCCCTGGCTATCCATTATTTATTTTTTTTAAATTATAAAACGGTGCATTCTGGTTTGCTTAACATAAGACATTTGAAATGATTTATACTTTTACTTTTTATACTATATTTTAGTAATTACATTTAGTTTTGATACATAAGTATATTTTAATCCAAATACCTTTAGACTTTTACTCAAGTAGTATTTTACTGAGTGACTTTCACTTTGGCTTGAGTCATTTTCTATTAAGGTACTGTATCTTTACTTTTACTCAAGTATGACAATTGGGTACTTTTTCCACCACTGGCACCTAGTGTACCCACACAGCTTTTATTCACACATGGGACCTCAAAAAGGTGTTAGCATTTGTGCCTCCACTTTGCTCTCATCATTTACGTTTTAGCACTACTACCACACATACAGTATTGCACTCCTCACCAGTTGTTTGCACCACACGCAGTACGCTCCTGATCTGATGCAGTCGCTGCAGGAGTTGATCACTGTTTTGGAACATACTTCCACTTTCTGGGAGAGCACTAGGGGAAACACACACAGGATGACGCTCATATTATAGTTGTGAGACTTTTCAATATCAAGAGGTGATTTGATGACTGTAAAAACTTACCACCTCTGCCCATCAGCAGGAGTAGGAGAGACACACACTGATACATTTCCTGGTGACAGAAAGTGGGAACAGCCATTTATCAGTCCATCAATCTTGACCATGTCAAATACTATTACAGGCACACCTTTTAGATGTCCAGTGATCTATATTTTACCATTCAAGTACCAGTAAAAGATACATGTGCTATAGATTAACATACACTGTAAGCACTCTTACACCATTACAATCTGATGCACATTATATGGCCACTGTACAAAACTCTGTCTGAGCAACAGAAATCTTGTCAAAATTAAACGGGCCTATTTATATAATGAATATGAATTCAGAGGGCAGAAATGATTAAATATGAAAGCATTAGACCTCTCACTAAAGGCTTCAGTCATACAAAAGTGATATTTAAATCTGAACTGGTTCTCTAGCAGATTAGTAAGAATGTCTCACACAATGTTCACACAATGTTTTTTCAAAATGATCAAATCCTTACATTACAAGGGCTATATTCCAAAGGTATTAAATCAATTACAGTACACTAGAGAACAAAACTGAATAATGAGCCAAATCTATTGGTTTTGTACCCAAAGTTGTAAAGGAAATGTTGTGATCTATTTAACAAACACAAGACCAGCAAAATAGATAACAGTGTGGTGGTATAGCAGGAACAGTGGCATCTAGTGGTCAGAACCTGGTACGTTATGGTAAATAATGGAAGCGACTTCTATGACTAATGTCTCTGAACAGGGGAAAAAAATCACCAGATTCACAGGGAATACATTACATAGTATAGAGAAGCAATACTCCAAGCCACAGCTTCATACTACTTGTCAAATATAGATAACTGATACTGTATAATGGTTGTTGGGTTGGGATTGGCATGGGTGACTTTTGACCATTAGTTTTAGATTCCTCATGTCTTACTCATAGGTAGGAAGAAGTTTGGTCCAAATCGGATGTTGGGTACTGCATTTATTGAATATTATCTGAATCCTATAAATTAAAATGGCCAATTTGGGTCCAATAAATTAACTTAATTATATTTCAACAAAATAATGTTTCAGCAATGCTAATCGTAACTACCAAAATGATTTCAGAACAATCTCAGATGGTGGGTGTCAAAATTCTCTTTTGTGTGTTTTTTAAGGTGTAAATACAAATACTCTTGTGAAATATCTCACTTCTCAAATAGTTAGCTAGCAGTACTTAAGCAACTCACTCCTCTCCTTATAAGGCATGAGCAATCATGATATTTTGACTCACTATCATTAAGTAACTGGTTAGCAATCCGCCACAAATATGAGTCAACTAAATGGGTTAATATTAGAAACATTAAATGCTCAACTGTAGGCTATAGAGAAACCAACAATATTCTGATAAAACAGGCATTTACAGTGAGGGAAAAAAGTATTTGATCCCCTGCTGATTTTGTACGTTTGCCCACTGACAAAGAAATGATCAGTCTATAATTTTAATGGTAGGTTTATTTGAACAGTGAGAGACAGAATAACAACAAAAAAATCCAGAAAAACGCATGTCAAAAATGTTATAAATTGATTTGCATTTTAATGAGGGAAATAAGTATTTGACCCCCTCTCAATCAGAAAGATTTATGGCTCCAAGGTGTCTTTTATACAGGTAACGAGCTGAGATTAAGAGCACACTCTTAAAGGGAGTGCTCCTAATCTCAGTTTGTTACCTGTATAAAAGACACCTGTCCACAGAAGCAATCAATCAATCAGATTCCAAACTCTCCACCATGGCCAAGACCAAAGAGCTCTCCAAGGATGTCAGGGACAAGATTGTAGACCTACACAAGGCTGGATTGGGATACAAGACCATCGCCAAGCAGCTTGGTGAGAAGGTGACAACAGTTGGTGCGATTATTCGCAAATGTAAGAAACACAAAATAAATGTCAATCTCCCTCGGCCTGGGGCTCCATGCAAGATCTCACCTCGTGGAGTTGCAATGATCATGAGAACGGTGAGGAATCAGCCCAGAAATACTTGGGAGGATCTTGTCAATGATCTCAAGGCAGCTGGGACCATAGTCACCAAGAAAACAATTGGTAACGCACTACGCCGTGAAGGACTGAAATCCTGCAGCGCCCGCAAGGTCCCCCTGCTCAAGAAAGCACATATACAGGCCCGTCTGAAGTTTGCCAATGAACATCTGAATGATTCAGAGGAGAACTGGGTGAAAGTTTTGTGGTCAGATGAGACCAAAATGGAGCTCTTTGGCATCAACTCAACTCGCCGTGTTTGGAGGAGGAGGAATGCTGCCTATGACCCCAAGAACACCATCCCCACCCTCAAACATGGAGGTGGAAATATTTTTGCTTTGGGGGTGTTTTTCTGCTATGGGGACAGGACAACTTCACCGCATCAAAGGGACGATGGACGGGGCCATGTACCGTCAAATCTTGGGTGAGAACCTCCTTCCCTCAGCCAGGGCATTGAAAATGGGTTGTGGATGGGTATTCCAGCATGACAATGACCCAAAACACACGGCCAAGGCAACAGAGGAGTGGCTCAAGAAGAAGCACATTAAGGTCCTGGAGTGGCCTAGCCAGTCTCCAGACCTTAATCCCATAGAAAATCTGTGGAGGGCGCTGAAGGTTCGAGTTGCCAAACGTCAGCCTCGAAACCTTAATGACTTGGAGAAGATCTGCAAAGAGGAGTGGGACAAAATCACTCCTGAGATGTGTGCAAACCTGGTGGCCAACTACAAGAAACGTCTGACCACTGTGATTGCCAACAAGGGTTTTGCCACCAAGTACTAAGTCATGTTTTGCAGAGGGGTCAAACACTTATTTCCCTCATTAAAATGCAAATCAATTCATAACATTTTTGACATGCGTTTTTCTGGATTGTTTTGTTGTTATTCTGTCTCTCACTGTTCAAATAAACCTACCATTAAAATTATAGACTGATCATGTCTTTGTCAGTGGGAAAACGTACAAAATCAGCAGGGGATCAAATACTTTTTTCCCTCACTGTAGCTTTCGTTTGTGATGCAATTGGATAGCTACTTTCATTTTATGATATTTTATATTATTTTCTAATGCATCGAGAGTCTGTTTATCTTTGCTTAGTCTTTTTTTTCTGTTCCTCCAAACAAAGACACTGGCATTAGAGTTACAATGTTAGGATGTCTTGCAAATCTAATGAACTCATCCTCTGCAGCAGAGGTAACTCTGGGTCTTCCATTCCTGTGGCGGTCCTCATGAGAGCCAGTTTCATCACTGCACTGCACAAAGTTCTTGAAATGTTCTGTATTGACTGACCTTCATGTCTTAAAGTAATGATGGACTGTCGTTTCTCTTTGCTTATTTGAGCTGTTCTTGCCATAATATGGACTTGGTCTTTTACCAAATAGAGTTATTGTCTGTATAAGAAATTCCACAAATTAATTTTTAAGAAGGCACACCTGATAATTGAAATGTATTCCAGGTGACTACCTCATGAAGCTGGTTGAGAGAATGCCAAGGGTGTGCAAAACTGTCATCAAGGCAAAGGATGGCTATTTGAAGAATCTCAAATATAAAATATATTTTGATTTGTTTAACACCTTTTTTGGTTACTACATGATTCCATATGTGTTATTTCATAGTTTTGATGTCTTCAATATTATTCTACAATGTAAAAAATAGTAAAAATAAAGAAAAACCCTTGAATGAGTAGGTGTGTCCAAAAGTTTTGACTTGTAGTGTGTATATTGATAAATCAACCAAATGATCTCATATGACAGTTAAACATTGCTACTACATACTGTAATCTGGGCCAACGTTAGCTGTAAATGGGTCTTTCTATAAATAATGAGGCCAATGTGTGACATTGGGCTAAACATTTAAAAATGGTTTGAAACAAAAAATAAAAAGGTTTTTCATGAAGTTCCACATACTTAGAGGAATAAAAGTGAATATATGCCAATTGACCCATAACTCCACCTATACAATAACATAGGCCTAGGAGTATAATCCTTTAAGCAGGGTTCATACAGACATTAGCAAGTCAAATTAAATTACTTACAATTGTATAATTTATATAATTGTACATATAGGGCCTAATGTAGAAGCCCCTCCCCCACCCATTACCGGACTAAACCTTATGTTGGTTGCATATATGGCATCCTCATAATAACCTCATGTGGTTTTACCGCAACAGAGCAGCGCAACACCCTTCAATTGTTGTGCCGTGAAAGTGGCCACATCCCTCACAAAAAAATAAGTATTATGCATAATTATTGAAGTACCACGTTAACGACAGTATCGATGTAGGTTTTAAGTATCTTTCGGTTAGAGGTATTCGATTTTGCAATCGCATTTATTATTTTGGATTTGTGTGCCCATGAAAACTGTTTTCACACCGTAATATAAGAAGACACTAAATGTTATGTAGTTACACTGCATTTCTGAGATCTCTATATAAAAAACTGTCCAACATCTAGATCCAGGATTCTTACAGGGTTCAAGTTCAATGTCTAATTTAACGGATTAATGGTTAATATATGATATAATGACAACTTACACTGCCATAAATGCAACGAAAGAAAAGTCATGTTTTATGTCACACGATTTTGGACAAATCCATCAAGACAACAACCATGATAAAGGATAAACCTCTATGGGATTGATGTCCCATATACGGGATGGTTGAGCTAATGTGCGCTAATGTGATTAGCATGACTGTTGTAAGTAACAGCAAACTTTCCTGGACATAGACATGTCTTATATGGGCAGAAAGCTTCAATTCATGTTAATCTAAATGCACTGTCCAATTTACAGTAGCTATTACAGTGAAAAAATACCATGCTATTGTTTGAGGAGAGTGCACATCAACAAAAAACGTATCACCGCAACTGGTTTGATACATTCACCTTTGAAGTTAAATAATGTACTTACATTCAGTAATTTTGCTCTGATTTGTCATCCTAAGGGTCCCAGAGATAAAATGTAGCATAGTTTTGTTTGATAAAATAAATGTGTATATTCAAATGTAGCAACTGGGTTCTACAGTTTGAACCCCTGCTGTCTCTGGCGCCACACCCACCCTGCCCGGCCATCTAGATGTGTGAAAGTTAGT